TCTTTATGGATGTCTTGCTACCTCGTGAGGAGTTGCTAGCAATCTTGAGCTTTGAAGCGCAGCTGCTGCCAAAATGGTCCACCTCACCGCCGCACTGAGTGCTTGCTGCAATTCAAGTTCATCTGATCGCCTATCATTGATTTCACGATTTTCTAATTGTGACATTTCATATTAACGAAGTGCAGCCTTTAAGAAGTTTGCATCCACAATGCGTTCGTAGCACATCTGCAATCCACAGTTCTTAAATCACAATTTAACCTGAACTCAGAAAATTAGAGACTAACTCAACATTCTTCATGATGAGAACAGGACAAGATAGCGAACACTATCAAACCTTGTATTGCAAATCCAAGGCTTTGTCTTCGCAGTTATTAATCATTCTTGATGAAAACTTCAGCATTTACTGCGTCATCATCCTTCACAAACACACTACCGCTCTTTCGGTGACACAATTTCAACCGTCAACAACAAAGCAGGCAGTAGATTATTCTTCTAAACTCCAAATATGCCACGGCCAAGCAAGGATAAGATAGTACACAACGTTGATAGTATCAGTTTTACCTCTAGAAACAACAACGTGAATTTTCACAAACTTTTCATCGTCCAGCATCATGCATAAAGGTCCAAGTCATTCAGAAGGCTATCCATGGGCGACAATAGCAATCGACTAACGATGAGAACCATATCCAAAAAAAACTTATCGCTTGGCAGTCTTCATGAACATACTGAATCCTAGCTGTCAAAATAGACATTTACATTAAACCGAACCCTATCGTCACTGTTTTTCTTATAACCCCACTACACAGCATTCATAATAAGCACACTACCAGATGTTGCACTAGACTAGACATCCGCACATAGTAGCCTGAATAAATTGTATCTTTTAACTCATCAAAACTATTAAACATCAACATTGATTACAACACCTGTGCTTCGAAGGATACCACATGGGGTTGAATCTGGGCTATATGCTCATACTGTGCAATATCCTTATGTGATTCAAAACCCATGAAGTTATTAAGTTCATGTGCAAAGATTTGTAAAGCGGTTCAGATTCAAAACATTACTCCGAACATTTCAAAACTGCGCAAATTGATTAAAATGACGTCGAGACCAAGCCACAAATGAACCAGCACTCCAAAACCCTCTCTAGAGCCAAAACCTAGCGAATGCCGGTTTCAAAATCACGGTAATGAAAAGGGATTGAAACATAGTCCGAACATTGAAATATGATTTAAAAAACAAAAAAAAACAAAAAACAAAAAACAAACCAGCCTTCACATGAATAGAACAAAGCAGAAAGATCGGACAATGAAGCGCATACACTAAAAGCGGAGCTCAACGAATGCTTGGTATGTTCCACGTTGTTGTTGTTGTTGTTAACCACGATGGATAACAGAAGAGGAAGCTTGTAAACATCAATCTTTCTGCTTCTGATCACTGATAGCACAGCAGTAACATATTTGCAGATTCTTTTTTACCAAAAACCCTAAAGATCCTCAAAGCGAAGGCATTTATATAGTTCTGAGCACAGGCTTGGGCTTCATTGCAGCAGGCAGAAACCCACTCCCCTTAAATTCATGGCTCTTGCATCCCCATATGTTATAAACACACACACGCACACTCCACTGCGCCTGGTTTGATCATGTCACTGGTGTAGTTAAATAAGTAATACCAACACCCAGTGTGCATGGCAGTTTTTTTCTACCGACAAGCTGAGGTTGACCCATTTCTTTGTTCGATTGACTTACGTAGGGATCTTTGAAATGAGATCACTTGTCGGTGGAAGTTTCGCCAAAGACTGCGCAGTTGACAACCATATTCAGAGGTCAGGATCGAGTCTATGGTAACAATGGGTCTGAATATTAAAAATAATGGTTAGAAATATGTGGTTCTGTCTCGTGTTTCTGTTTATTTATTTCTGTTTATTTTTATGTGCTTGTGTGTGTTTGTGTGTATGTTTGAATAGTGGTAGTGATAAGTTTTGTATGAAATCATTCTCTGTTGGTCAACGAGCTCTGCCCATTACGAATAATGCTAAGAGTAATGTGGAAGAATTGTGTCAAAGATAGAATGTTAAATACAACACAACTGTAAAAACTTTTCTGTGTTAAGACTGTATTGTTCATTGATTTTTCAAAGTTTACATGATATTTTAAATTTATATGAGTTTTATGTTTACTGATTCTTTGAAATGGGATTTTTGTAAACTTTTTGCCTTCAATTCAAAACATGAACTAACAGTTTCTCAAAAATAATAATTTTTAACATTTATATGTACATTGATATGTGATATTCGGTTCTTTTGCAATAAGAGAAAAAAAAAAGGAAGTTTATTGGAATTGAAGTGAAGAAGAAAAATTGGTTGAAATTTGCATGATCAAGAAATAGAGCATTAATATTGTTATTGTTGGCTTTGTTGGACTTTCTTAACCAAAGTATTTTGATGATATCATGGTAATAAATAGATAGACACTGAGCGCTATAAATGAGATTACATTTATGAGATTTTTATTTTACAGAAGATAGAGATGGAAGTATTATATCATAGAGATCATACAATGGTTCTTGTTATATGCCTTGAATGACCTAGGACAGTGAAATACGCAAAATGTTATGTGGAAAAAAACTAGCAACTGTTTCCAACAAGGTAAGACTGAAGGTTGTGCAATCAACTCCAAGCTCTGCAACAACAATTGAAGAATCAAGGATTTGCCCACATCATCTCAACAATAACAAAGACATTAGTAGATAGGCTCAAAGCCAACAACAAAAGTAATGGAATCAACTTAATGTTGATACAAGCAAGTGCATTATTAAAGCAATTCTTATTGGTGGTATTTTGTGCATAGATATAGTAGGATTTAAAACTACATCCCTTTGAAGTAGAATTAAAATTCAGTGCCTCAAACTACTTGACCAAACTGTTCTCATATTTCTACCAGCTTATAACTGATCTTGTTTCTACAAGTATGGCAATAGGCACATGGACACTTTTAGTACTATATATATATATATATATATACATTGATACACACATAAAAAATAATAAAAAAATAATAAAATGTTCTATTAAAATAGAATAAAAATTTAAACTAAAAAAAAATTAAATTATAATATTGATATGAAGTAAAAATAACTAAAAAATAACCACAATTTTTATCATTAAATATTATAAAGAAATTATATTTAGTTATAAAAAATATGTATATTACTTTAAAATCCTTTATTTATTTTGTAGTACTTATAATGAATCTAATAATTTTTTATATTTTAAAACCAACTTGTATTTGATATTGTGTGTAATTTATAAAAGTTTTTAGAATAAAATAAATGTAACATAATAATATAAATTAAATAGTACATGTATATATTTATATATTACCACAAGATTATACCAAGTAGATAAATTGCATATTAAAAATCAAAATATATTATAAGTAACAAATCAAATAATTATAATATTTTAATATTATTACATAAGATATACTTGAAAAATATAATAAATTATTTTTTCAAATTTGGTACTATTACTAATTATTTTATTAATTAGAAATAAACTACACTTAAAATTTATCATTCTAAATAAATCTGTAACAATCTTCAAACATGGGTTTTTTAATTTTGTAGTAATCCTCTCTTTATTTGTCAAAGTCAAAAGTTTTCAAATGTGTGAATTCACAATATAACTTAATATTTAAATTATATATATATATATATATATATATATATATATATGTATTTTTTTATTGTCAACCTAAGTTTATACTATTTTCTCCCTTAAACTAAATTAAAGCACAATTTTAAATACTTAGGTAGACCTTAAGTGGTCTTTGGTGCTTTTATTTTATTTTTTATTTTTTATTATATGATATGACATTTCTTAAAATAAAAAATTACCTTTGTAATTTTAATCCTAATCCAAATTTTAATTGCTAGCCAAGATCCCTCTAGTTCATAATCAATTCCAATCAAGTCACAATTAAAGGCTATCTTCACCATCTTATTAAATTCCTCAACCAAATTCTACCACACAATATGTTTAATTTAAAAGAAATGTAACAACCCAACTAAATATCAAAAGAATGATTAAAGTAACAAGGAACTCTTACCAAAGCAATGGAGTTACAATTTAATTGCTTTTAGGATGAAAGAATAAAGAAAATTATAAGTTTTGTGTCACCTAGTAAAATAAATCAGTTTTAGGCATTGCAATCCATGGAAGGAAAAATAAATAAATAAATAAATAAAATACATGATAATACAAAATAAAATAAAAAACTATAAAAGTAAACATTCAAAAGTTTGTTTAAATTTCACATAGAATAATTTAGAGCATTTATAAATACTGTGACACATATTTTTTAAAAAACTGTTAAAAAAATAGATTACATAAATGTATGTAGGAAACTTGGTATAGGACAAGGAGACAAAGAAGCCTTCTCATTGGCCCAAAATCAAAGGAATTGTTAACCAATAGAAAGCCCTACACAATATGTAAAAAGACCTCCGCTGTACTATTTGTAAACAGCTTTTCAGTACCCAATGACATGAATTTCCACATAAAGAATTCAACGTTGTTTTAAAAGGTGATGTGTACACAAAAATAGCCATGAGATTATCACCAATGAAAGCTTTCCAGATGAACGGAGACCAGGCGACATTCATTCGTTAGGTAATGAACAATCGCGAAGGTATATTCAGATTCTGATTCCGATTCTCGGGAATAGCCCACCCATTATCCAAACCGAGGATGAACAGACGACGATGCACAACATAAATAATCCAAAATGTACATCCCTGACACACCCTTGTCCTGGGGGGCCCACGAACCGCCCATCGCCGACCAGACCAGACCCTTACAGGTCCGGAACAATGCCAACCAATCCCGAACCTGCGGGAAAACCCCGTTCACACTACCTCCCTAAGGCACTAGTAGTAACATCCCCCTCCGCCACACTCTTGGTAAGAGTCCCCCACTGTTATAAAAGCACGCTGCCGGCCTGGTCTCGTTTCGCCGACCTCTGTTTCTATTCTGTCTTTCTGTTCGTTTTGGTGTTGCGCGCTCCGCACGCGATTTCGTGACGTGCATTTGTGATCTCGTGCTCTCATGGACACGCATCCATAACTGACTATCTATCAATTCTACTCGTGGGGACAATTTGCCAATTTTAACTGTGAGATTCGTCGCTTTTGAGCTATAATTTGGTTGCTATTCGAGTCTGAGGAGAGGGTGTGAAGGGAGTGGAGAGAGTGGGAGTGGAGAGAGTGGGAGTGGAGAGAGTGGGAGTGGAGTTCCTTCGGAATTAGAGTGGCCGTGGGTCGTGTTGTCGATGATAGCGTAACTTGTGGTTGAAGTCGTGGATTAAATTGGAAGTGGAGCCTGAAATTGGTGATCGATTCGGGTTCGCAATTGGCGGGATACATTTGGTAGGGTGACGGGGTTTCTGGTTTCTGGTTTCTGATTTCTGTTTCTTTTTTTTCTTTTTTTTTTCCCTCCGTGGTCGGGTGTCAATTTGCGACGTGGTGGCGTTTGTTTGGCTGATTCGAGACGACGGGAGTTGCGTTGGAGTTTCGGGGGTTATGAATGTTTTGTTTGTTTCGGTCTGTGACCAGTGCGAGTTTTCGTGTATAAAAAGTGGAGGTGATTGAAGAGGATGACTATCGTCGTTGCCTGAATCGGTCTTTTTTTTCCTGTTCTTGTAGTTCGTTTCGGTGTTGCGTCGTACGGATATCTTAGGAATTCCTCGAGTGTGACGTGATATATTCGGAGTTGATATTTTGTAACAGTGAGCGATCTTCGCTTGGTCTTGGATCTGGAATTGGTGATTGATGCTTAAGAGAAGCATTGAACCTCCAGAGTTGTAGACCAAACAGGGCATTCTCGCTGGTTGGATTTGTAGTGAGTGCTATCGTGGTGGATCATTTCAGAGACCTGACTGGCTTAGGCTGGTTCGATTCTAAATATTATCTGGGGGAGATTACAAGGTTAGGGAGTAGAAGCAAGTTGGAAAACGTTGCGGCCGCGGATTGAAGAATTTGGTCTATACAAGAATTCTGCCTAACGTGATCACAGAAGCTCATTGTGATCCCACATCAGTGGACATCGTGGTTAATGTTGGTGGTGCGCAGTTCCAGTACGTTTCGTTCACGTCGCTCCGCTCTTCGAAGCTTTCGAGTGCTAGGGGATAGGGTAGTGGCAACTCGCCGTGTGAGGGCTAGTTTTGCAGATTAATTTTCATATCTTAATAGCCACGTTATGTCTTACTTACGTACGAACATTTGTTAGATTGCGTTCTAATGTGACCATTCTGTTTCCTTGCAGGCTTTTGGCACAATATGTCGATAATTAGAGTTTGTTTTTTGTCCACCTTGTTTTCCTTGTTGGCTGCTTCCAGCTTGTGTATGGAGCAGACCTTGGGGATGAGAATTGAGGGTTCGCACATCGTGATGAAAACTTCGTGTTCAAGCTTCTTCTTCAACAGCCAGGTCAACAATGCCCAGGTCAGGAACGGTCGTCCGTGAACAGAGGAATGGATGTGTTGGTGTTACTAGTACTATTAATAAGATGTGTTTATCCGATACAGTTTGTTTTCTAAATTTGAAGAGTAAAATTTTAGTGGATCTTCATGACTCAACTTTGTGCAACCGTGATGCTCGAAGCGAATAACATGCTCTATGGCGGAGAAATACACTAGGTATATTCAAGCTAGCAATTTTAGGTTTTGGGTTCAAATTCTGTGTCTTTACCGTACCAGTTTATTTTTTGTAGCAGGGATGGAAGGTCATCCCCGAAGAGTGTGAGGATTTGGTGGCGCGTTACATGAACAATGGTCAATACGCCGTGGATATGGAAGGTGTTGCTGTGGCTGTCTTGGACTATCTTAAAGACATTATACCAGGGGAAGATGGGAAAGATGTAGTTATCTTTGATATTGATGAAACAGCTCTCTCCAATCTACCCTACTATAGAAAGCATCGCTATGGGTAAGGCCGTCCTTTACTTCGTAGAAAAGAGTTGAGAAGTTTTTCACATTATTAAAAGTGATTGGTTACGTCGATTCCTGTACATACGAACACCAATCTTGAGTATTCAACCGAAACTTAGTTTCATGTACTGTAAGCATTGGCTTAGGTTATTGCCTTGAAATTTGTATTTTTTCTTGACACGACTTGTCTGTGCAGAGCGGAAGTTTTTGATCATCCATTGTTTAGCAAGTGGGTGGAGGAGGGTGTAGCTCCTGCTATTCCTGCCATGCTATCGCTGTACAAAGTACTCCAAGCTGAGAACTGGGGAATCGTATTCATGACCGGAAGAACAGAGAGTCAACGAAACATTACAAGTCAGAATTTACTTGACGTGGGCTATTCGGGGTGGACCACCTTGCTTCTCAGGTATGTGGTTACATGTCACTCTAAAAGCTATCGACATTTCCTGAATTTCAATCTTCAGTATGCCATCATGAATGCCGATTTTCATTATTAATTAGTTCAGAGGGTGTTGAAGTTCTCGTTATTGGGAAGTTGTGGGCAAGTCTAGTAGATGCAAGGAGCGATAAAGGTTGAGTGTCTCAGAAACGCTGGTGTGCAGATCCCCTGGTTCTGCCACTTTTGTGAAAAAAAAATTAAAATTTTAAAAATCTTTAATTGACATCGCGCCAAGTTGAGAAAAATTGTTGACACGGCTTGTCATCCAGATCTCCTGCTGAAGCTCATACATCTGCGGTGGAGTATAAGACTCGAAAACGACTTCAGCTCCAACACGAAGGATACCGCATCTGGACTTCGTTGGGTGATCAGTGGAGCGATCTTGCAGGAGCTGCTGTTGGAAATCGGACATTCAAGCTTCCCAATCCCATGTACCATATACCGTAGATATCAGTGAAAAAAATTCTTCTCTCTTGGTTCTTTTGTAAGTAGCAGGTCAAGGGCATATGTTCACCAGCATTGCCTTTAGTTAGCCGTCTTGTATGCTTGCCATCCGTTCCCTACGCAAGGTGACGATGATTGATAGCATCAGAAAGAGCTAAACAAACTCACGATGCAGCTCAATCGTACACCAACCCTGCAGTTGCTCCGTACTCGCCGGTCAATATTTTTGTCACTGGCTTGTTAACGGAGTAATTACGTCATGAGCCTGGAGACCTGGTTCATTTCAATAATATCAGTAGCTGTTCATAATGTCATCAAGGTACTTAGCGAGTTTAGAAGAAATGTGGCACAAAGTGGTGCCAATGATGCTTACAAGACAGTTTAATTGTACCATGAAATTCTTTGCATCTCTAACCTCTGTAAGGATGTCTTCAATACATGCAGGAATAGCTATTACATACTCTATAGTTCACTTGGTTTTCACGATTCAAAGTTGATCAATTTTCGAATGGAAGTAAAATCTGTTAGATTTTGGAATATGTATTGTTAAATTTTATTGCCTTGACATTGACTGAGAACACTGAAACCATTGAGTTTGCATGTGTAACAGTCTTCATCAAGTTAAGAATTGGAAGCAGGTGATGGAGTATAGTTGTGGATTTAAATGAAATAGATGAAGTGAAATGAATATGTCAAATTTTTGAAATATGTTATGTGCACATACTTGCACATCTACTTTATAGAAATGTATTCACATGCATTTATAAACATAATATATGAGATATGAGCCTAGATATTTAATTCATTTGAAAAAGGAAAATAAAAAACCAATAATATTATTAATTTTTGGAAAGATACAGTAAAATGGAAAGAATATTGTTGTAAAATTATTAAATAAAAGATGTGTAGATATCTTGGATAGATTAGGTAAAGAAACTCATTGATATATGAGAATCATTCATGGTTTTGATATTGTTGGCACATTCATTTATTTATATATAACAATATGAAACCAACTAAGAAAAGGCTGCTAATAAACCATTTTCTAAAAACATATTGAAACAATGTCATATTCAAAAAGTTTGTATTATTGAGATTGAAGTGAATGTAAAAATTGTTTGATTTAAGATTATTACAACAAAGCATAAAATATGAAATGCTCAATGTGGCTATAGAGAGTTTTGTATTGATTCCCATGATTTTTGTAAAATAAGACATGCTTTGAAAAGATCAACCTTAAGGTTTAGTTTATTTCGTTGTTGTAATTTAATTTTATGTGTGGGTGAGGAATGCAATTAGTGTACCTAGATAAACCATAATTTTTGTTCTATATATATATATATATATATATATATATCCTGTGAAGTAGAATCATGATTATCTAATTGAGTAAGTTTTGAATACTAACAGTGTTTTTAAACTTAAAAATCACATTCTATTTGTGGGTTGTTTGTAAACCGTTTACAACTGATGTACTCTCTAAGCACAATGTGCTTATTTACATAATGAAACCCACTAAACTGTCCCAACATAGAACTGTTTTAATTTAAAGTTTAAATTTACGCTCTTTTTGACTCTTTTTATTCTTACAACTTAAAACACTCCAAAATCTTATTTTATTTTTATCTTAGATTTGCAATGTTGATTATTACATCAATTTTTATAGTTTTGGAACGTGAATTCTGTTTTTTTGCTTTATTTTGATAACAACGTTATATTTATTGTTTCAAAGATTTTTTTAGATTTAATTATTTTAAAGTAATGGAGTTACCATAAAATAAAACTAATGTATTCTTCAAGTGATTACAGTACATTTTTTTAATAATCTAATTTGGCTTTTATTATATTTACAAAAAAATAGCTACCACATGCTAATGATAACTCATTTTTTTTTTATTTTTACTATCAAATGTAAATCTCTAATTTGGTATATGTTTTTTTTTTACAAAATAAAATAATAGCTATTATGCATAAACATAAAATCACAGTCATTTTAAATTTAGCCAAAACTTCCTTAATTTCATGCTTAGTTTATGATTTCTAAATATTTTTGACTGCTGGAAATGCCAATCAAGCACATAATATTTCCAGAATACATCCAATCCTTGACATGTTTTTGTTTAAGTCTAAAAACATAAAAATAAATAAATAAAACATTGATATCCTGAGTACCAAGTTATATATTCTAAATTTTGATGGAGTTCCCATTATCATTGTTATTATTATTCGATAATAAGTAGAATAATTTTTCCTTTTTAGAACAGCAATAAACTGAACCTTAAAATTCTTACTCTGAAATTTTCAAATGTGCAAAAAATTTTAATATTTTAAGTTATAGGGATTACATCAACAACAAGAGAAAATCTAAAATTACCAAATAATCTTGCAAAGTAAATTAAAATAACAAAAAATGTAATACATCATTATAATGTAATATAATAATAATATCGAATTCAAAGTTTAATAGTTTCCATGGGCTCTGACTTGTGGAGAATAATGTTATGTTGAATTATATATATATATATATATATATATACACTTCTCTTAATTGAAGCTATCAAATTAACTATCATTTTCAGCAGTTGATATAATCAAAACAACCATTGATTTTAAGACAGTTGAAATGACTTAAACAAGCAAAACCAAAATTTAGAAATTTTATTTGTCATTGTGATGACTCATTTTTTGTCATAGATAATTATATATATATATATATATATATATATATACATATATATATATACATAGCATGCTATTTGTTTTGGTACTATATGTGCATATGTGTGTATATATATACAAAATAAATAATCAACAAATAATAAATAAAATTCTATTAGGATTAACTGAACCTTAAAATCAAAGAAAAGATTTATAATTGAAGTTATGTTTACAACAATTAATTTACAGAAAATTTATTGATGTTTTATAATTTACATAAGTATATATAACCATGTTGCTACTTTTAATGAATTTAAACGAGTAAAACTTACATAGCATTGAAACATATTCAACATTGCTCCTTCAAGAAAAACAAACATTTGCAACATTTTGAATATAAAATACCTTTAAATCGTCTGATGTAATCTGCACACTTTTATTCTGTTCATAACAAACATGTTTATAATGCAAAAAGCTACAAACAGTGCTTATTGACTCAAAACTTTACATTTCTAAAGACATGTTGGATGCCTATAATTTTCCTGCGCTTTCCTTAAACAACCTGCTGTTCTAAACCCTCACTAATGAAAATGAACTTCAAGAGAATCTAACCATGGTTTGATTTACATCGATGTAAAAAAAAAAAAAAAAAAAAAAAAAAAAAAAAATAGAACCTTCATTAGTTTGTTTGAAAAACTAATTTTGAATATTTGACTTTCTGCTTTAAATCCATACCCTGTATCCAAAACTACATCATCGATAATGAAAGACATGGTGGCAGAACAACTAAAAACATGTTTCTATCAACCTTTTCGCTGAAGCCATTTAGCGTCTAGTGCTTGTGGCAGCAGTGATCCGTGCACTCCGACGGCAATAAAGGTTACCGCAGATTGCTCAAGTGGTACTCTTCCTCACTATACTTCTGCAAAAACGGGTGTTTCTGCAACCACCAAAAATGATCTGTAAGACCTGCTTAGATTTATCCTCGTAAGCACAAATCATAGCCATGCAAGAGAGCCCCACACTTCAAATATTTGAATTCCAACAACATTCTTGAGATCATGCAGCAAAATCTATAGCATCGGCATTCCTAAGTCGTAATATTCCTAAGAAATATTTATCGAAGTCTTAATTGTGAGTACCAAGTGCTATTTAAATGTTTTAGTTTAAGCTACAACCGTAAACAATTTAGTGAAGAGATTATATAGCAAGTGTACGTGAAAACAGTGCGCCAATTGCAGGACTTGAAGTAGCTGGAACAGACACACATGAGGGTAACCAATGCAGATACTACCAGATGATACTTACAAGTAAATCTGCAGTTGACAATCGGTCGCCAGGACGTTTCTGGATGCTGCACACATATTGTGCATGTTTTAAGGTTTTCATCACCAATGCCTAAATATGATAATACAAAGTAAAAAATTCTCACAACTTTTCGCCCAACACAACCGATAAAAATAGTACATGTCTATGCTTACCAAGCTGCAATGAAAGAGCAAAATTCGGGAGAGAATTTGTCAGGAGGTGCAGCTACGGGAGGTTGATTAATTACGAGCTCCATGAGCATGAAAAAGTTATTCCAGCCCTCTTCCTGCCCAGGTGGTCGGTAAGGGAAATAACCCAATGCGCACTCTAAAATCGTCAACCCTAAACTCCATATGTCACTGTCGTATGCATATGACTGCCCCCCGAGGCGTTCTGGCTGTCAAGTCATCCAAAGCCAATAAAAGTGAGTGACGCGACTACAATTGGTAACAATCCGCAGACTTCGCAACTGAGACCAATGTAACACACAAAATCTATTTATTTTAAATTGAAAAGAAGGAAGGTGAGAAAGAAGAATATCTAAACGATTTACACAACAATGTGACAGGAAACTTACCGACATATATGTGTAAGTGCCGACGAACGTGTCACGCTGGGCCATGGAACTAATCAACACAGCACTGACACCGAAATCAGATATTTTGACCTCACCCTTTTGATTGATGAGGAGGTTGGAGGGCTTTATATCACGATGTATGATGTGCCTGACTTGATGTAGATAGTTCAATCCCTTTAGTACCTAGCAACTCTTCCAGAAACTAATCAGCAGAGTTATCAATTTTGTACAAATGTGCAGGAGAATTCGAGTACAGAGCGCTCGGTAGCCTGCAGAGTGAAATTCGGTGAAATTAGCACTGCAATTCTGCGACAAAGCAACAAAGCAGATGGTAGGAGACTCACTTGATTCGAGATGACAGCCAAATAGGGCTCAGGTATCTGCTTTGTTTGCTTGATAATGTCGGCCAATGAGCCCCTGTCCATGTACTCCAGGACAATGGATATGATCCCATTGTGGTAGAAAGAGTGATAGCATTTCACTATGTAGGGGCACTGATGCAGTGTCAGCTGGTTGATTTTCAGCTCCTGTACAATCTGCTTCCTCACTGTTTCGTTTATGTTCATTTGAATCCCCTGCAGTGTCGCAAACTCTTATTCGCTAATGACCGTGCATGCATCCTTCTCACAAACGAGGACGCTACATTTCTCTAGGTTTGCAAAATAAAAGGGAATAGAACACCACCTTCAATGCGTAAATGTCGTTTGTCCATTTGTGCCGAACAAGCTGCACACTACCGCCCGCACCCTTGCCTAAGACCCGCACAGCCTCCAGGTCTGCCAATGAAAGTTGCGCGTCTGGGGGGTTCGCCTGTGTGTGCGTCCAATATTAAGCTAAGGGAGGATTTTAAGATCCAGCGCCATCTACTCAATTATTTAAGCAAAAGCCAAAAACGAACCAAGAATACGAGGACTACGACAATGGGCAGAGAAGCAGTCCTACATAAGCGGTGGATTCCGAAGAGACGACGCGGAGCCCCATGTGATCGAGCTGGATATCGTCATCGTGAAAAACTCCATTAGCCGTCCTGCACACCCCTCAAAAAAGAGCATCCTAAGATTCTGCTGTTCCTCATTGTCGAGACAAAGACCGTAATGAATAAACTCTTCAACGTGTCTGCGTAGTCGTATGCTTACGAGACATGCCCAGTACATCTTCCGAACTCTCAGACTCATACCTCAGGCGAGCAACTATGTGGCACCTCAAACAAGCATCTGAAGTGAGTCCTCTAAAAGAAAACCGAAAAGGGCGTCGTAGCAATTCCCTCAATTCTTCAATTGCACACACTTTAAAGAAGACCCCTGAACCGTACTTTAAAAACACTTGTATTTCAAACTAAGTCACATCTCCTTGGCCTCAAGAGACCCAAGGGAAGCTAAGAACAGAGCAATCAATACGTGTCATAGACAGTTTGTGTTAATAAGTAACTGGGGACTGTAAATTTCAATCCCTCTCTTCCAGAAACCGTGCACTAAGAAATGAATACTGCATGCTTCATTTGTACTTCACCCCTGGCAATGAATTGACGATGACCGCTACACATTTATTAGACGAGAGAGAGGTTACTTCAAAGAGTACCTAGACACTATTAAGAAATAAATCATTCAATCAATAAAAACAAAAAGAAAAGGTAAATACCCAAAGAGCTTACAAAAATCTGTGGATGGAATTCTCTTGCTTCGGCACCGCGACGCGAAGACCTCCCGTCCTATGCCTCCTACTCATATTCCCCTCCGGATCAACACAACGCCGGCACGCAATCCGATTCAGCTCTTCCAAAGCAGGGGATACAAAATCCACAAAACAGGAGAGAGAGGAAAAAAAAAAAAAAAAAAAAAGGGGGGGGGGGGTGCACCGCTGCTTTCCACTCTCTTGCAACACAATACTCCGATCCAATCCACGGCCAATTTATAACCAACAACAACAACAACACTGTCCACTTGGGCGTCCCGTTACGCACCGACAGCTACCACTCAACAACGAACCCATCACCAAACGAGACTTCAAATTGTCTATTATTATTATTATTATTATTGTGATTCCGATCGCAATTGCGCCATTAAACTACGACACATCATGTCGTATGCACACAGTAGCAGAGCTTGTAAGCGAGGCAATCCGATGCCTCGGCAAGCGGCGCTACACTGCCCTGCACTCCCTGCCTCCTTGCACTGCCTTGCCCTGCATAGCCCAATGATGATGATCCCACAACGTCGTCGTGACCCCGCTGGAAAGGAAGCTGCTTGTCCATGAATGAATGGAATGAATGAATGAGTGAGTGAATGCCCCAAGCAAGCAAATGAGAGAGGGGAGGAGAGATTGAGACTGACAGAGAGAGAGAGAGAGAGAGAGAGAGAGAGAGAGTGGTGAGTGCCGTCGTCGTCGTCGTCGTTCAGCCCTGCAACACAACAGTGAGTGCCCTCATCCTCCTCCTCCTTGTTCCTCCTTGTTCCTCCTTGTTCCGTTCTGTTCCAACAGTGCAGTGCAGTGCAGTGTTGTGTAGTGCAGGCTAGTTCGTCATGCTGCTGATAGGTGGTGCTGCGGCTGCCTGCAGCATTGTTGTTGTTTGTTGTTCTGTTGTTTTGTTGGTTGTTTAATTTGATGTTGTTTGTTATTTTAGTCTCATTGTGAGAGAGAGAGAGTTCGATGATGAATGAATCAATCAATCAATCCTTATTGTGTGGAAGATGATGACGATGACGATGACGATGCTAAGTAATGGCGGTGAGTGAAATTCAGTCCCACGATCTCACCCGCACTCTCTCTCTCTCTCTCTCTCTCTCCTCCGCTTCCTTCCCTTCCCTTCCCTCTCTCGTTTCCTCCGCCTCCCACTCCGTCCATAGTAAATTAGTGAGTGTGAAAATATGTATGTATATATAAAAATATATATAAAAGGATTTGTTTGTCAAGTGTTACGGGGATTGATGGTTCAAAAGGGTGGTTTGTTATTGACTTTGCACAACAGCAGATACTGAGCTCCCTCTTGCTCTGACAACTTTTTCTTTTCTCTTTTCTTTTTAACTTCATTACTCCATCATCATCATCATCATCATCGTCCATGTGTGTGCGTGTGTACAAAAGTAGATTATGTTAGATTTTGTGAGCAGCTTGCTGATGGGCAACCAAATGTTAGGAACCCCTAATACATACATTTGTAGGAGTGCAGGATTAACTAAACGTGAAAAAAGAAAAAACAAAAAAACAAAAAAAAACAAACAAACACACTCACACACACACTCCCACAATTATTTATGAATAAGTAGACAGGATTAAAGGTAGAACTTCTTTATTAAAAAAGTGCTGAGTACAAGGAAGGAGCCCATTCCGAGTTTTCTGTTCAATATCAACAGCTTGGCACATAATAATAATAATATTATTATTGTTTTTATTCCACAAATGGGTCAAGTTGTTGTTGGTGTTATTGTTGTTGATAGAAGATGAATAAAGGAATGAGAAAGAGGCCCCACTTAATGTATTATTATTATTATTATAAGGAGTAATGAGTGCAGTGCTATGGTTAAGAATCATGGTGTTATGAAGAAAGGATGGCATTTTTTGTGCTCATTTATATGGCTCTATTTTTTTCTTTGTAACTTTGTGGTACTACAAAGTGTGAAAATTGTGACTTGTTGGGTTATAACATTTTTATATGAATTTACGTGTCATGACAATGAAATTATTATTATTATTATTATTTCATTCAATATATTATTCCATTGTATTGATTATTATTGTGTTTTAGAAACGTGTTAGATAAATGATGATATTTCGAATATACATGTTTTAATTTAAATACATATAATAAAGAAAATATGTTTCATAATTTTCATAAATTTTTGCACAAAGTTTTGTGTATGTTTAAAATGTTTCCATTGCATAAGACTCTTCAAATACAGCCGTAACAAAATCATTTAGGAACATTAGTTAAAAATATTTTAAACATATAGAAAATGTTTAATTGAATCGAGTTTATTAAAAATATTTCAATGAATCATTTTCTCAAAATATTACACACACATATATATATATATATATATATATACACACACACACACACATAACAATCTCTTCATAAAAAATCAATCATAATTTATTTATTCTTCTTTTAATAGTAATAAAATAAACTTCTGGTAAAGCTGTCAAGTTGTTGAATACAGAAGATGATAATTTTTTACTATAGTATGGTATTTCCCAAAACTTGAGAGTGATTAATTTACATAATTTCAAGATACAATGATAAGATCAGAAATCATAATTTTCACCCTTGCATCTTTCGTAATCTATCTTGACACAACAAAATGGATACTTTGAGCATTTGTTTGTGCTATCAGCTTTTCAAAGCATTTATACTGTTCTCTTACAATTGACACTCTGGTATTTATAACCACGTATACTATATGAGCATGTGTAATTTTAATAATAAAAATTGAGGTTAATGTGTAGTTTATATAATTTAAATGTGATGGTACAAAAGCTCTCAATGTGGGATTTTATTAATAAAAATTCAAATATGAAACAATAATTTGTTTGTATGAATATTAAATCGTATATGTATATATTTACACACTTACTATATACTTTGTACAAACACCCCACCTTGGCTTAGGAGGTCAATGACGTTTGTTTGGCCACATGTTCTGGATATAAAGTCAAATGCAGCAATTAGAGTTTTTTTTTTTTTTTTTTTTTTTTTTTCCTTTAATCATCCATGCAATTTTAAAAATTAATAATAAATTCCTCTCACGTTCTAGGAATTACAAGGAAATTGTATTTTGAATTCTGATCGATATCACTGTACTATAAAGAGTTCTCAAGCCTCAATTATTATTATTATTATTATTCTTAAATCTCACTTTGTTACTTTCGTGTTATGACATACTTTCAAAAGATATGTGCAGAAGTTGAGTTATAATATTTAAAAAAATCATGTTGACTTATTTCCCTTATATATATATATATATATATATTCAAATCTTATATATTTTTCTCAACCAAAAATACACAACAGGCAATTAATTTTCACGTTGTTGTACTTCTTCTTCTTTTTTTCTTTTTTTCTTTTTTCTCCCCAATTTAAAATGAAATACCAAACTCGATTAGATGTCGGGGTCTTTGGGAAGGTTTCTCGATTCTTCTTTGTTGGGTTCAGGGTTTTAAGTTAAGCATTTTCTGCATTACGTTAATTTATTAATTACGTATTGCTATTTCTCTATCATTTAGTACTATTTTTCTATGTTAGAATAAATGCGTGTTCTTGGATTATGATCAGAGCTTGGTGGGATTGGTGGTCAGTCGTTACAGTCGTCGTAACAGTTTGGTGGGCTGAATTAAATTTGCCTCATCCAGGCCTGCTTGCAGTCCAGTAGTTTGTTTTAGCATAATCCCAGTATCTCTATTATTTCGTTTCTTAACTAGAAAGTTTTGAAGTATGACATCTATTTCTGGAAGAAGTTTCTACCATTTCCAACCAATTTCACATATGTTCTTTCCTGATGTGGAGATGTGTTTTTCATAGATCTATGAGAATGCCTCTCTTTCTCACTAGTGTTTGATCTTCAACTCGGTTTATCATTCAATCAATCGCACATGTTAATGCATAATGTTTCAATCTCTTGTACTCTTACGTCTTCGTTGCCCAGATTCCTGCGGAAGGGCTTCGAAACCTGGGCACGAAGATCGTTGAAGAGGAAGATTGAGTTTTGGGCAATCTAATACGGAATTATCATAGTATGAATTTCTTTTTTTTCATTACGAATCACGTCTTGGATCATTTGTGACTTGTCTAATGCGTTCACGGTGGCACATGAACAGTCTCCATCACTGCTTCAATTGAAGTATTCTTCCATCTGCTGAATAGCTATGTCGCCAAATCTTTTGGCTAATTACGATTGCTGCATTGTGCATGGCGAGTCGTTCTACTTGGGAGTACCACAGGAATACAACGAATGGTAAAAATTTGCGATTACGATATGTATCCTCACGCATGATACCTCGTTGTGCGATTCGAACCTGCAGCACATTGGGGTCTTCGTAGCCAGAACACTAACATCAAGTGGTCTGCTGAAGCGCAACAGAATTCAAACCATCAAGATAAATTGTTACCACTAGTGGCGTTACTTTGAGCACCGAGCACAAGATTGGGTTGGGTTTCTGAAGGATGAATCGGAACTCACTATGCTCGCTACAAGTAGCAGTTCGTTGGTGACAACCCCCAGCTCTCTCTCTCTCTGCCCATACCTGCTCTCACCCACAAATTGCAAGTGACTTGGGGGTCATGAGATCACGGCCCTGTCAGGTGTCTGTGAATTCTCTCTTTGAAAGTTCACTGCCCCACTCCCTCCCCCTCTTTCGCAACAATCTATTGACTGCTGCGAAGGCAGACATACATGCAATTCTAGATGTATGAACAGACAACACTGCAGAAAGTAGCATTCCCAACGATCCACGAAAGCGCAGCCACACTGAACATCTCCACCGGGCTACTCCGATGGGACCTGAACCGGAACCATAGCGTGGCTGCACCACCCTTGGCCCACCCACTGGAGATTAGGAGGCACGCCAGATAGCCTATCCACACCAGATTTTGCGTGGCGGGAGGAGCATCGCCAAATCCCATCTTCTAATCGTAATTGTTTACTTACAGTTAACAATCACTTGAAAATAAGTTCAGACTGCACCCGCTAAATGACAGGCCCACCTGCCCCTGTATCTCAGTCCCGTGCAGGTCGATAACGGGACCCAAAACTGAGATATGTCAAACTTGGTGATGGTGACGGAGTGCCACCAAAATGATTGAAGTAAAGGCATCAGTCAGGAATTATATCTCGGATCCGAAATCTTTCCTCCATCTGCGTCACGTGAAATGTGGAGAGAAAAGTGTAGTGCGAGGCACTTCCTGAGGTGACATGGCGATGCTAACCTAACGAAGAAGAAGTTGATTTGGCATACTTTTTCTCAGTTTTTATTATTTATTTATTTTTTTCAGGCTGTGTGTGTGCTTTTGACTTGAGTTTAGCACCACATTCTGCCTGTAACCTGACATCTGTACAGGTACCGAGTCGACAGGAGGGTGAAGTTAATCTAGCTTCTGACACGGCGTCGTGTTATCAGTTTCGTGAACGATTTGGCACATTTGTGCAAGGAATAGGGTTAGTGTTTTGCATTAGTGTGATTAGTTGCAAAGTAATACAGGAGCTATGGCGGAGGAGAACACCACTCCGTTACTGGGTGGAGATGATGCCATGGAGTCGGGAATCAAAGACAGCGATGGGACTGCTTCTGTACAACCGTCCAGAAGCTCATCCACCGGAAGAGCGCCATTCAAGTACCATAGAGTGTTGTCGGGCAAGGCTTTCAATGATTCTTCGAATCTCAGCGAAGGTATAGTGTTTCTTGCCTCAAAAAAATTAGCAGAACCACACGCGTTGCGATTCACGTAAATCTCTCAAACATAATTGGAGAGTATGATAATTTCCTACTCATCGTCTAATTTGTCTGGAAGCGATGGCGACCCGGCTTTGGTGATCCCTTAGTTGCATGGAACACGAGATGCAGGTCAAAGGGAGTACAACCGGGTGCAGAGAGAAACATTGTCATTGTACAGAGAAGTAGCGGAGGGTCCGGTCGGTGGAGCACACAAGGAAAGGGATGAAGAGGAGCCATATGAAAGCCTTGCGATAAACCTTTCCAACATTGCTAATGTTGTGCTCCTTGTTCTCAAGGTATTCATCTCCAATTTGATGAAGTGTCGAGCGTGGCTGACGGAAGTGCAAACGCAGCTTCCCTTCTTGCTCTCTATTGAAACCTGTTGCTTTGTTGCTTAGAGACTCATATACTGGGTACAGATTTTTGCGTCGGTGAAGAGCAGGTCGTTGGCAATCGTAGCGTCTACTTTGGAGTCTTTGTTGGATCTTCTTGCAGGGGTGATTCTTCTCTTCACAAGGTGGTCGATGAGGCGAGAAAATGTATATAAGTATCCAATTGGAAAGCTCCGTACTCAACCTGTGGGCATTGTCATCTTCGCAGCCATTATGGCCACCCTTGGTAATGCTCCCCCTCTATTACACTTCAGGATCATGAAACGAAGAGCTTGTTACTTGCTTGAAAGCCAATGTAATTTCGCAGGGGAGTCATAACCCTTGCACTCCAGGTGTACAAGTGCTGATCACAGCCGTGGAGCACCTCTTGGAAGGAGATGACGGAAATAAAATGAACTCTAGCGAACTTGTGTGGATGACGGTGGTGATGGTAGTCGCCACTGCTGCCAAGCTCGCTTTGTATCTCTTCTGCCGCACTTTCAAGAGCGAGATTGTTCACGCTTACTCCTTGGTAAGCAGTTGCCGTCATTCAGCGCTGTCAGGCTTGTAAGTAATAGACGGTGACTTTCCCACTAAGGATTCCGTCACGAGAAAGAGGGTTTTAGACACACAACTTTGAAAGAACGATAACCGTTGTAGGGTTTTTAGGACAGTTTCATATACGTATCATTTGATGTAACTAAGAAACTGCTGATCCCTTGCCTGGATTTTTAATCATTTATACACTCCATTTTTTTTGAATTTTGTGATCATGAGAGCAGGATCATGGCTTTGATGCGCTTACAAACATTGTCGGATTGGCAGCAGCGTTGCTTGCAAACCGATATTATTGGTGGATAGATCCTATTGGAGCTCTTGTTTTAGCTGTATACACTATCGTCGAATGGTCCAAGGCTGTGCTTGAGAATGCAGGTTTGAATTCTTCCTGAAAATGAAATCGTTTGACGTTGTATATCGCCTGTCAGTTCACTTTGAAATAAATTCGGCATCCAGGATGGTCATACCAGAGGGGTTACCGAATTATTCAGAACTCTATTTAAAAACCCTGAACCTCCGCCTAGGCTTCAACAATTCAGTTGTGTGCAGTGTCGAACCGTTTATGATGATAATTCAGTGGCTGTTACATCTTTGGCAAATCTTTGGACACAGGATCACTCATTGGAAAAGCCGCACCACCAGAATTAATTCGAAAGCTCACATTAATTACAATAAGCCACCATGAGGCAATTAGACGGATAGACACTGTCCGGGCTTACACTTTTGGAAGTCTTTACTTTGTCGAGGTCAGTATGAAACTCTAGCTCGTCTTTGTCGTTGTGTATCTTCAGTTCAGACTAGTTTATTCTAGCACTAAAACAATGTTGCATTTTGCTATTGCTGTGAGCTCTTCCTGCATGCAGTCCAATTGTGTCCTTCCTTCCAACCTAGTGGTCCAGAATACATCTAGGTTTCTCATTCATCTATGATTCTAATGCATAGCTTTCTGCGCATCAGGTGGACATAGAGTTACCAGAGCAAATGCACCTGAGAGAAGCCCATGATATCGGAGAAGACCTGCAGAACAAGATCGAAGATTTGCCTGAGGTTGAACGAGCTTACGTACACCTTGACTTTGAATCTAGACATCGGCCTGAACACACCAGGCAGCGCGGCAAAGCCACAGGTCTGATGGATTCCTGATCAAAAACTCTCCGACTAGGATGAATCTGATCACTGTTTTAAAGCATTTTAGGCTAAGAATAGCTGGCAGAATAGGTTCAGATGTAGTCTGTTTCTAATATGATAGTCCTTTCACGCCTGCTAATTCAGGGTAGAACCCCACATACCCAAGTGAAGCTCGTTTATGGAACGGCTCTGAGGATATCATTGCCAACTTAAACATTACAGACTGATCTTGCACATCCATTGATTTAAATAAACATGTAAGAAATAGGAAAACTGGGTAGAGCACACCATGCACAATGGAAGTGTTGGTAGATTAATCGGCCAAGTGGCTCTGAGATGGAAATCTCACATTGTGTTAGAATTCCAAATTCCTGAACACACATCATGTGAAGGTTGTAACATTTGTTTTTGTGCTTCTAGTTTCATGCAACGTCCTTATTTTTGCATATGAATTGAGTAACAGAAATCATAATACAATTTCAGTTACTAATGGAGCAATGGTTGTATTGTGCATTGCTACTTTGTGTACCATTTGAATCATTTTGCATGATAGGGATATCTATTAAGGCCTTGACTTAGAGTCACGAAATTTCTCCTCTTTGAGTACAATATTCTAGAATGATGTCCGAATGAACCATAAAATTTTCTTTAGGTGTAAATTGGATTTTAAAATTAAGAAATTATAAAATAAAATAAAATATTAATCCAAATTTACACTAAATTATTGTTGATGCTAGACAATTAAATAAATAATCAAAATATGTAGATTCAAAGTCTCAAGTTTTGAACCATATTTTGTTTTTGTTTGGAACAAATAATATAACCTTAAATATTCAAGATTGAACTATTTGTCCATCATCAAATATGGATGTACCAAAGTCAAAGTTAGTGGCAAACAATACTATTAATTAAATATAAAGATAGTATTTGATTTTAAGTAATCATGTATCATGATTTTAAGTAATCATGAATATATTTTTAAAATGTTTGTATAGAAATTATAAAAAGCATCATTATATGAATTACAAACAAATAATTCATTAAGTAAGTTAAATATTTTTTTAAAAAATAATTAATGAAACAAAAGATTCAACATCCTTTCTAATAAGGAAATTTTAAGTTCTTAATAAAAGTATTTTTTGGTCTTATTTATTCCATTTAAAAAGACTACCTTTGTAAATAAATAAAATATAAAGATATATTTCTTGAATTTTTACTAATATATTGTAACATATTCTAAAAATATATAAAATTAAAGTATTTATTTAACACTTTTATATAAAATATTTAGCTAAAATAGTTTTGTAATTTAATTTATTTTATTTAATTAATTTATTTTTTATATGCACCTATTATAGTCAATTTTAATAGTAAAATTTTCATGTTAATTAAAAAAATATTATCATATTATTTTATGATAGTAGTAAATAAAATTGCTCAATGCTCTCACTCTTATTCACATGGTAGTTTTTAATACAAAAAGAATAATTAATTGATTAACATGTAATAGATTAAAATAACACATACTTTGTGTTTTGGTTGTATGTACGTTTAAAGAGTGAGTTATAACAAAATTCTACCTGTTTGGTTGAATATGGTGATCATTTTTTGTTTAAATAAGCTAGATTTTTAAGTGTCTACACTTGCATGACATGTATCTTAACTTGCAAAGCAGATTTTTTATATGGGCGCCACATAGTTAGCTTGTTCCGCAAGCTATCAACACATGTCATACATGGTTAGCTTGTTGATTAAGTTTTTAACCTACCAATCAACTACAAATATATGTAAAGTCAAAAAAACATCTAAGAAACTTCTAAGAAGCTTTTTAAAAGATATTATGAAATCAATCTATTTTTATCTACTTCTACCTATTCATATTACTAAGTTAAAAATTAAAATAGATATATATCCATGACATTATCTCCTCTTTTAGAGACAAGTTCTACGAGGAGCGGTGATCACATGTTGAAAAAATCTAAGATACAGCAAATTATATTTGCCACATACTCTAATCTTTATTCCCTTTGAAGGTAGTTAATAGGTCCTCTCAACCATCAGTAATTTTTCATTCTAAGGTGGGAAGACTATCTTGTTATTTAATCATTGTTGAAACTTTTGTAACTTCTTTCAAAAAAAATATTTATAATATCATCAGGAGTTGTTTCTACCTCTAATAAAATCACCAAATATCAAGAGTCTCTTCTCAAGTTGTGATATCAAATGCATTCTATCTCACCATCTATTTGTAGAAGAACATGTCGTTCTTAGAAGTCTTCATTCATATTACATTGTCTTGAAGGCTGTGATAATTGCAATGTCTCATCCAATAAGTCAGCAAATGATGGCTCTTCAATTCAATTTGTTCATTATTAATTCTCCATCATCTTAATGCTACAATTACACAAAAACTACAAACAAAGATAGAAGGTAGAATACAATCTTTTCTAATTTATGTTTCTTTTATAGCAAAGGTTTGATATCCTTCATCTTTGTTTTGATAGATGTCATTGATGAAAAGCTTTGACCTTCTTTGTTGTATTTGTAAGATTTTTTGTTGGCTTCCATGTGCATTTGTTAATATTATATCCATGCCAATGAATAAGATATTCTAACCTATGTCACCGCGATCTTAAGTCTAAGACTTCTTCTACCTCAAATTCTTGATTATTATCTACTTTTACAAGAGGGGTGGTATTTGTTCTTTGCAATAAGCATTTGCGGTGCTCTTTTGTTGTTCATGAGCCTCTTTTAGTTGCGCCTTCATTGTTGTATGTAGCTCAAATAAATGATTTGCTAAATCTTCGGCCATTATATTATCAATTTTTGAAAGTCAAAAGCATCAAGTTGTGGATGATAACCATAATTAGCAAAAAAAGGTATTTATTATAGAGAAGAATGTATTGTATTATTATAAGTAAACTCTAAAAATAACAAAAGAGTTGCTCAATCATCTTATTGATAGTTGATAGTATGTCATGGACATACATATGTATTTTACTAAATAGTTATATGATTAGGTATGAATAGTTAAAAATAGATAAAATTAGGTTAATTTCATAAGACCTTTTAGACAAAATTCCTAAATGCTTCATAGACGCAGTCATGATGTAATATGACTATATAGTGAAATTATAATCAAAGTTGAATTTCTAATTAATATCTAATTATTTTAGTTTAATTATAATTTGATGTATCTAAACATGGCTTTTACAAAAGCCTCTTAGGTTATTTTTTTATCTTAATAGTTAGTAGGTTGAAGGTTAGTTAGTAATTTTACCTTCTAGGTTGTAGAGACTCTTCTACTACCTTAGAAAGACCATAAATTAATAAAATCAGATTAGAAGAGGTAAATAATTCATATAGTTGATACTAGGTTTAAGTTGAGAATAGGGTTGGGCTAAAAAAACCTTGGGATAGATTAGATTGATACTCGGGGGTCGACCGTTTGTGAGATAGGATCGAAATCAGACCTCTGACCACTAAAATGACAGCCTAGGACAAAATAGGGAGGCATTCAAAGATTGGAGGTTAGGGTTTGAGAGCTAGCTTGAAGTTCTTTTCATAGACATAAGAATTATTTTGAGAAAATTTTGGAGGACTTACCATTGTTGTTCAAAGTCAGGGTTTGTATTAGTGATTTGGGTTTTATATAATATAATTAAAGCTAGCAATTTTGGCTAGTTCGTGCAATTGGTGTAACATCTACAGTTGAAAATTTGATGTTGTTTGAATTATTGAGTGTACTAAGTGTATACAAATTTTTGTGATAATCTAACGGCATGGTTTAGAAATATCTAGTTTTGAGCACAAGAGGGTTTCAGAAGGTGGCAGTTTGAGGTCAGGTAGGATTTCTATGATATTTGAAGATTTATTAGCCGGATTAAGGTAAAAATTAGCATGGTATTGAAGGACTTGAAGATCAAGCTACATATCAATTTTGAAAAAAAGTTAATAGTTGGAAACGGAGAAACCATTGCTGGGATTTTTGCTTCACTTTTCAAGTTGGCGGCGGAGTGACATTAGTGCAATTTTTGGAGGTTTTCTCACAATCTATAAGTTGAATTGGGCTAAAAATTCTTGAGCATATAGAAGACTTATATTGACAATTGCATGCAAAATTCCACATTAAGTGGATGGTCAAATTGAATGTTACAACTTATTAAAGCTCACTGATTAGGATTGAGGCTTACAAGAAAAATCTAAATTGCTTAAATATGAAAATAATAAGGTAATTGGGATTTATGTATGGTTAAGACCACTAAGAATAGTATTTTAAGTACTTTTGAATTGAAATTCGGATTATATTCTTCTCGTATGGACAAAATCTATTAGGATTTCTTAGCTACTTGTGAAATATAATCTCACCTTCTACAACTAGGTACCTGGTGCATTCCTAAGCAAAACAATACGTAATACGACAATGCTGCTTGACTTTACATGTGTTTGTAGTTGATTGGTAGGTTAGAAACTTGGTCAATAAGTTAACTCTATGTTGATAGCTTATGGAAGAAGCTAACTATGTGGTGCATATATAGAAAACTTGGCTTGCAAGTTAAGATACAAGTCTTGCAAAGTCATCATATTTTGGAGGTCATATAAGACATCACCACATAGCTCTTAATAAAGAGTATATATGGAGGCAAGAGTGAAGCCTTCCTCATTCATATCAATGCTTTTATAGTCTTTAGTCTTGTTTCAAGACTTTCTAATCTTTTTATTTTTGGTAATAGCCATTCTAGTTTAATATTACATCATATTTTGAGTGGCTTTCTAGTTCTATTCAGTGACACAAGAGTGTATTGAGGACTTTCTTTCTTCCAGATTTATATCCTTAACAGTTTGACAAGAGTGCTAACATACTGTTTTTGCCTTGTTTTAGAAGTGAGTGGATAATCCCACTTCTATTGTTATATTTTAAAGATTGTAGACTACCTACCTTCAAACAAAGAATCTTATTTTTTAATAATAATCTTTACTTTAAAGAGAGTGGATTATCCCTCTTTGTGGAATTTTTTATTAGAGGTTGTGGATTATCCTCCTCTAATTTAACTTTTTGAATTTTTTTGAGTTATTTATAGAAGAAAAAATTATGGATGCTACTCTTGGTAGAAGTGAGAATAGATTTGCAACTGTTGCCAATCTTCATGAGCTTATCGATACTCTAAGAATGAAAATCTCACATATTTCTAACGTGAATCATGGAAGTACTAGAGCCTATAGAAGAAGTTTAGGATCAGTGACAAGAAGTTGTGTAATTAAAAGAAGCAAATAGATCAACCTTACAATCAAATCCATGGAGTTTTTTTTCTATAAGAATGAAAGTGACAAGGATTAGTATCCCTGAGAAGTTTCATGGAACAAGATCAAAATTTTAAAGATTTTCGTAATAAATTAAGCTCTATCTAAGGTTGTACCTTTCTAAAACCTTGATGGATTTATTTAA